AAAAAAAAAAAGAAAAAAAAAAAAGAACGTTGCTTATGGCTATGAGTTGGCAATTCTTTTATATCAACTTCAATTTCTTCAATATATTATCATTTTCCCTCATAATAAGCTCCTATAAATAACACCATGTATCAAGCCTATTTCCAATATCCAAACAAAAAAGGAAAGATAGACAAAGATGGAGAAGCAAATAATCATACTATGTACCATCCTTTCTATAGCTCTCTTGGGCCAAGCCCATAGTTTTCCGGCCGAAAAATGGTTCCGACGCGCTTTCAACGGGAGAGAGAAAGTGACGCGTTTACAGTTATACGTCCAAGACATATTGACCGGCCCAAGCCCGACTAAATATAGCCGTGGCCCGGGCCAACACCACTTTCGCGTCCCCGACCCTTTTCGGCCTTGTCGCGGTGATCGACGACCCGGTGAGAACGGGCCCAAGCCCGGGCTCCGAGATAGTGGGCCGGGCCCAGGGACTCTTCGCCTTTGCCTCGTTGGAGGAGATTAGCCTCCACATGACGTTCGACATATTCTTCACGGGCGGGGCCCACAACGGGAGCACGCTGAGCCTGATCGGACGCAATCCGTACCCACGGGACCACCGTGAGTTGTCGGTGGTTGGTGGGTCGGGTGATTTCAGGCTGGCGCACGGGCACGTCGGGATAAGGACCGTGTCGGTTGATAGCACGACAGGAAATGCGTTTTTTCAATATAATATTACCGTGTTTCATTATTAGTATGGGATTAGCTAGGGTTGATGATTATGATGATTTGGTTAATTTGGTCAAAATAATGTTAGTCTTGTGTTTGGTTTGAGTGATTGTGTTTGAATAAGGGCCCCTTGAAATGGAGATGGCCCATAAATTACTTGTGGTTCCATATTAAACTAATTTTATACAAAATCATATATTCAAATAATCTCACACATAATATTCCATTAAATATATTTTGTGAAGCACAAATTAAACTAACAGGCTTTATGCTGCCTCGAGAGTTAATAAAGCTGATTACCAGTTGTACAAGCTTTTGAATTTTGACTAGTGTGTACCCCGTGCGATGCACGGTAACAATATTATATTAATAATATTATAAATATACCTCGAGTTTGAGTCACTCAATGGTGAAAGTGGAAACTATTTTTGATCAATTTAAAAAGAGGAAGAAAAAAATAGTAATTATATATTAAAGTGTCGGGGTCAGACAATGTAAAATTATTTTGTATAAGAGAATATAAATTTTATATTATTTTGTATAATAGAATATAAAATTTGTATGTTTAATATTAAAAACACCTAAAATATTATATTAGTATATGTAAAAGTATTCAAAATTTTCTATATTATTTTTAAAAGATATGAAGTCACCTACAACGTTTCTAAACAATTTTAGAAAGAAAACATATCTAAAAACATTTTAACATTATGTAAAAAAAAAAAAAAAATCTAGACTATTTTGTAAAAAAAAGAATGTCTACAAATAATTAAATTTAACATCAATTATGTATATGTGTATATGTGTATACATAGACGATTATGTAAAAAAAAACATGTCTAAACAATTTGTTTAAAATAACTAAAATATTATAAGGCTAATTTAATAAACACCTTCAGTCAAAAAACAGGAAAAAAAAACAAATATCTACACATTAAATCAGATATAATGTTTCAAAATTTCTGCAGTATAAATGAAAAGAGAAACAAATCAACACAATATCTATTATTTTGTTAACCTAACAAATAGAAAAAAGGGAAACATCACAAAAACCATCGCATGTATTATTTTGTTAACCTAAAAAAATAGGAAAAAGAAAAACATCACAAAAACCAGCGCGCGGTTTTTTTTGTTAACACTATATAACTGTTTATTTAATGATTTTAGAGGGAAAATAATAATTTTAGCGGGTATTTAATGATTTTAGAGGGAAAATAATGATTTTGGCGGGTATTTAATGATTTTGGAGGGAAAATAATGATTTTGACGGCAAATCATAAAAATGTTATTCTTTTAATATAATTATAGATGCGTAGTTGGCAATTTAATGTTATTTTAATTTTATATATTTACTTTAAATAATATAATACTCCCATCATCGTGTCATTCATGACTCCAAATAAAATTAACCAAAACCACCTATAAAAACAAGCTAATCATTTCCACAATTATTAAGAAATAATTCTAAACAAGGGACAAATTGAAAAAGCAAATCATAACACTCCTTAAGATTTCCTAGCTAATTTTTCTAAAGCCACAGATGTCTTAGCTTCGAAAGACTTTTTTCAAACTACTTTCAATGGAAAAGAGAAAGTGACTCGTTTACAGCTCTACGTACAAGACGTATTAACCGGCCCAAATCCGACCAATATTGCGGTAGCCTCGGCAAACTCCACACTTACTTCCCCCACATTTTTTGGGCTTGTGCGGTGCTCGACGATCCAGTCAGAACCGGGCCTAGCCCGAATGCAGAGATAGTGGGCCGAGCTCAAGGATTTTTCACGCACACTTCGTTAAATGAGATAAGCATCCACATGACATTTGATATCGTATTTACCAAAGGTGAGTATAATGGGAATACGCTTAATTTGGCGGGTCGAAATCCATATCCGAGAGAATATCGTGACTTGTCGATTGTCGGTGGGTCAGGTGCATTTCGATTGGCACAAGGTTTCGTTGAGATTCGAACCGTGTCGGCGATAGCTGGACGGGAATCACATTTTTTCATTATAATATTACGGTTTTGCACTATTAATTCGTAATTTGTTGCTCAATTTATCAAATAATTGAGTTAATTGTGCATGTTTATTTGTTTGATTATTTGTCATGTAATATTCTATATTGGTTTTCTTGCCTTACATTGTGTCAAGTTTGGTGATTGGCACATCATATTTTGTGTAATCTCCCTTTAAAAAAGGATGAAATTTCAATTGAAAATTCCAACGTAAATATATTGGAATAGAATTTCAATAGATATGCAATGTTATTATTTTCATTAGAATTTTCTAATTAATAGATTCAAACGGATATTCCATCTATTGGAATGAATTTTTCATTGGAACTTTCGTTGGATTTTGACGATTCCAACAGAGGTGAAAATAAAAATTCCAACAGAAATTACATATCCAAGCAAAAATTACAACGGTAAAAATTATTGAAAAAAATTTGTCCTTGAAATTATCAAATTTCATCTGAAATTTGAATGAAAAACACATTTCAACAAATATGTCCGTTGGAATTTTGCTTAGAAATCATATCAACGAAAGTTATGTCATTGAAATATCCGTTGAAATTTTCAAATATATTATTATCTTTCAAATATATTATTATATATAATGTTATGTTGGAATACAACAATTTTGTCATTGTCTGAACAAGTATAGTAATACAATGCTGAAATTTAGTATATAAGAACGCAAATTGAATTGTAAAATTATGAAACTATATCAAAAAAAAATGGTAAATTGCGTCAAACCCTCCTGTATTATATGAAATCTGCGCCTTATCCCCTGTATTTTAAAAAATGCATCATACCCCTTGTATTATACTATTGATTGCGCATGCTCCCCTCTCCTCGTATAATACAAGGGGGTATGACGCATATTTAGGGGATAACGCGCAATCAAAAGTATAATACAAGGGAGTATGACGCATTTTTTAAAATACAGGGGGATAAGACGCAGATTTCGTATAATACAGGGGATTTGGCGCAATTTACCAACAAAAA